TTCTGGAAACACCACTTTCAAAGACTCAAAAGATAAATGACCAAGACGACAATGCCATAAATAAACTTGACTCTTATAGGACTGACTCTTAGACTTTGTGACTTGAAGACCAGCCTTATTCTCCAGCATGTAAAGTCCATCAACCATACATCCTCTACCAATCGTCCTCCTCGAGGCCAGATCCTGGATCACACAGTAAGAAGGGAAAAAGGTCACTGGGTAGTTTAAGGAATTAGTAATACTACTAACAGAGAACAAATTAATGAGAAATTTCGGAACATGTAAAACATCAAAGAGGGTAAGGCCGAGAGGGAGAGAAATGGTTCATTAACCAGCTATGGTAGTATATGATCCATCAGCTAGTCTCACCTTGTCTCTTCCAGAAAGAAGGTGATARGTTTGAAAGTAAGAGGRCRTACYRGTCATGTGTTTTGACGCTCCAGAATCAATGATCCAGGGAGTGTCAGGGCTATGAGAAGCAGAAAGCTGTGGTAGAGTTACCTGATGTAGACACAAATGAAGTTGAGGGAGGAGCATCCATATGTTGAATTGCTTTACCATAGAGTTCTAAATGGTTACGGAAGGAATTTATAATATCCTCCCTTGGGTCAGATCCAGATGAATGTGTTTGAGTCACAATATGAATGGGGGGGCTGATTTTCCTGAGTAGCCATGTTTGCCATAGTATGTTTTCTTGTACCTTGCTGTCCTGACTTTTTATTCATATATGAACCTTGCTTCTTATTCAGATCTTGAGCCCATTTCGGTTTCCCATGAAGATCCTAACATGTGTCTCGGGTGTGTCGGAGTTTCTGGCAATGAGTACACCACAATTTGTCCTTGTCATCCATCTTTTTCTGAAGATCTCCCTTCCTAGAAGTATTTGCCCCACCAGTAGTAACACTCCCTTTTGCTGCCAACACAACTGCATCTCCTCCAGAACTGTTCATCAAATTCCTTCTGCTTTCTTCTGATTGTAAGAGCATAAACTTCCTGAACTAATGGAAGATCCTTGCTACCTAGGATCTGAACTCTGATAGATTCATATGTAGGGTTCAAACCATGTAAGAAAGTAAACACTCTCTGCTGGGAGACGAGTTTTTTGTACAGTTTTGCATCTTCATCACACTTCCAGTTCACACTCTGATAATGATCTAACTCCTTCCAGACAGAGGTCAAGTCTGAGTAGTACACAGATAGACACCTCTCCCCCTGTT